CGCCGATTTAAATAATCACCATTTCATTTAAATTTAAATGGCTGCCACGCTGAGCTGATCAGCTGTTTGTCAACTCAGCGCGGTAGTCTGGACGCTTTGCGGTCGACATCAAAGGCATTTGTCAACTTCCCAGGTATGCCTCATCCCAGGAGGCATACCTGGGAGGTCGACAAATGCCTTTGATGTCGACCGCAGAATGTCCAGACTTCATTTTCCTATGCCTGGTAGTCTAATCTACATGCCTCTGTCGTCAGAGGCATGTAGTCTACACGTACCCTTAGTCTGACCTTCCAGGACTATTCTTATATTATGAAGGTACATTAACAACATCTTTCTCCTTAGTGAAGACAGTCTGCAGGAGGATGCATCTGAAACAGTATTTCTGACAAGTGCAAAAGGTCACTGGGAACAATTAACTTTGAAATTTAAGTTGCGGCCATTTAAATGGCCACATCAATTAAATTGCTGCTGACCATATTAGCAGAATGAGAATGCAACATTTCTCTGCAGTGGCTGGTGGATGGTGACTAGGAGGATTATAGTGCACTCTGTTACTGTTGCCCTCAAATATAAAAAAAACCCAAAGAGCTAGGAAAGTTCTGTCAGCCTTGTACTAAAGAACCAATATGCACAAGCTAGAATCCTACAGAGAAGGTATCTTTACAAAACTCACATTTTGAGCAGAAGTAGCAGCACCTACAGGGACAAACTGTGTTACAAGTATCCATGGGATTATGGCCAGTTTGTGATTGCTCTTCGGTCAAATTCTGTTAGCATATGTGGTATAGAACCCATGCCATCTATACCTGACTTTTCTTCCTTCTGCATAATTGTCTACCCTTAATTTAATGGTTCAATATTAGCATCAAGCAGCTACAGAAACCTACTTAATTACCAACATCCCCTCTAATGAACTCTCCTGAGCACTTGTACTTTGTATTTCATTCTCTGAAAATGTACACAAACAAAAATGAACTCAACATTCTCTGCCACCTCCACCTCACTATTCTCTGTGTACTTTAAAATAAAATTAGGTTTTTGTGACCCAATTGCTCCATGTAGATTCATAGGATTTAAGACCAGAAGAGAGTGTCACAATCTTGTGCAGTGGTGCCCAACCTTATTACACCTAACCTAAGCATAACCTTGTGTAGGCCAGATAGATTCTACATGCTTTAATACGATTTAGAGTCACTATTTTATTTATTGTTTAAATTCAGATTGTTTTGTATTTATTGTATTGTATTGTGTATTTACAAATTTGAGTAAACTTTGTATCCAAATATGGTCAAACATTTCTTCAGCCTGATGAAATCTTCAAGATCTAAAATGGAAACAGTGCAGTAGAACTACTCACTGTGCTCCTAGAGCTCCTATTTTCTACAGTTAATGCACTCACAGGAAGCTCTGTCTAACATTTCAGAAGTTGGCAATGTTTCCTAGATCTGTCCATGCACAAGTAACTCCCAAAGAAACAGTTTGAGAAATTTTCAGTTGAGCTGAAGGCTCCACTTTCATTAGCCTGTGAAAATTAGTAAGATTTCAATCTAAGGGGGAGAACAAAAACAAAAAACAATCAACTGAGTGAAAATAAATCTTGATTTCTGGAGTGACAGGCACAGAAAGAATATTGGCTTGTGCTTTTTCTTTCCTTTTCAAATAGGGTAAGAAAGTATTCTCCTGCAGATGTTTCACATTAAAAAGAATATTATAATATTTCATAGTTCTCTAATTACATAATCACAGAACAAAAAAACCCAAAAAACAAACGAACAAACAAAAACAAACAAACAAACAAACCACACACACACCACCACCCACCCTGACAAGAAAAACAAGTTCTTCTCACACTACAGAACAAGGATGAAGTGGATTTAAAAAAAAATGTCTGCATGGAAATTTCAGGAGGATTTAAGAATTAAGAGCAAAGAGGGCTTTCAACATAGATTTAGGTCACAAACTTTCCACACACAAAAATATATTTTTAACTGCCCTTTCAAGCCCTATGTACTGCATAATCAGCACACTAGGCAATAGCTTAGGTTCTTTCCCTTTGATTTTTCAAGTTTCCACTGACCTAGACTCCACATTATAAACTATTAGATGGAAAGCACTTACCCTTTAACATATCAATATCATCATTTTCTAGTTCAGCCATCCATTTGGGAGGAGAATTGGTGATAGGCTGTCAGAATACAAACAAAACACATGCTCAACCAAGTATTTTTGTGTATTGCTGTAAGTGGTGTATAGCTACCAGCTCCAGCATCTGAAGCAATGACGACACCCAGACAATAATATAAGTGGACTAAGGACTAAACTCAGGACACTTTGTAAAGAGCTATCCTGGTCAGATGCTGTATTTCTCCAATTCCTGTATTGCTAGCATTTTCTCCAGTCGCTGCTATCGTCTGACGCAATGCCCGGTCACGCAAAGGGCAGTATAGACTGTAATAGCTTCTGATAGTCACTAAATGCAAGTCTAACTTCTAAGTGTCATATACAGTATGAAGTAGAAGATTCAGAATTTACAAAAAAAATATATCTTCCAGAGAAGAATAAGAAAAAAAGTTACCTTAGAAAGAAAATACAGACTGTGACAAGAAACATGTGCACGAAGGGGATAGTTATGTATGTATGCCTAATAGAAGTTTCCATAGATTCATAGAAATAGTGACATTAGTCATCTAGATTTAAAATAGATCATGGACAAAACACTTGGGCAGGGTACAGTGAGAGAAACAGGGATTTCATAAAGAGAAAGCTGCAGCGGCACAGGAGCCAAGCAAACAGAGCTGTAAACAGGGGAGTTTGAGTGGGAGTTTGTAAAGCGAGTTTGGATTGTGGGACCATATCATTAGCTCACAGACATTTTCCTTCTCCCTCATCCCCCTTCTGTTCTGAAATTTGATTTGTCATTTTCATGTGTGTGAATTTTTTTGATTGTATCCTTTGGTATATATGGTTGTGCCAATTTTCTTCCACTATTTGATCTGAGGAAGTGGGTCTGGCACACGAAAGCTCATCACTTAATAAACCATCTTGTTAGTCTTTTAAGTGCTACATAGTCCTTTTTTTTTTCCCAGCTACACCAGACTAACACGGCTACATTTCGATCACTATTTCACTAGGAGGGTAGTGAAGCACTGGAATGGGTTACCTAGGGAAGTAGTGGAGTCTCCATCCCTAGAGGTGTTTAAGTCTTGGCTTGACAAAGCCCTGGCTGGGTTGATTTAGTTTGGATTGGTCCTGCCTAGAGCAGGGGGCTGGACTTGATGAACTTCTGAGGTCTCTTCCAGCTCTATGATTCTATGTGACAGTGATGTCACCGAGGATATACAATATAATTCTCTTCTACTTCATTTCAACAATATCTGGTAAAAGCAATAATTTCTACTGCCAGTGCCAGAATAGTGACAATATCTGTGCTTGATAATCTGCCATAGAGAACTGAATAGCTAGATTGTTGGTGTTAGGCTAGAGAAAATGTAGGCATTTTATGTCTATATTAAATTCTAATGGTGTAGTTTTTGAAACCAGAGATTTTTCATAAAGTTATTATTAAAAGTTACACATACTATCTTTTAAAATATCTTTCACCCGTCACTAATAGTCATTGTTAATGTTAAATGGTTAATGCTATTCTTATAAATAATACAAATGTCTAATTTGTTTTGGCTGAGCTCTTATCATGAATGCCAATAGGTTTCCTTTATTCTGTTTAAGAAATGTATGTTATGTGTTCCTTAGTTGTAAAGTTATAGTTGCTCTGATGTTCTTGTAGTATTAGAAAGGACACACACTGTAACATTGTCCTCTGTACCTAGAGAAGGGCAACTAAGATAGGACAGGATTATGATGATCAATAGATGGCTTAGGCAGTGGTGCTATAAGGAGGGCTTTGGGATGTATAGTCACTGGAAGGCATTTATAGACAGAGGACTGTTCTCTAGAGATGGACTTCACCTAAGTAGGGAGGGATATAGACTTCTAGGATGGAGGCTGGCTCATCTTATTAAGAGAGCTTTAAACTAGGAATTTGGGGGAGACGGTTGGGAGATGCCCAGGTAATCTCTACGCCAGATTTTAACACTGAGAGGGAGGAAAACGAAGTAAGAAAGGATATAGCTGGGGGTAGGAGAATGAACATGAGGAAGGGTGGGGTGGACACTAGTCTAATAGGTCATATTGGAGGTATAACGTCTATGCCAAATTGGGTAAAGACTGTGAATGAGGCCAAACAGCAAAAATTAAGATGTTTGTACACCAATGGGAGGAGCCTAGGTAACAAAAAGGAGGAACTAGAGCTATTGGTCCAGGAAGTGAAACCAGATATTATAGGAATAACAGAAACATGGTGGAATACTAGGCATGACTGGAGTACAGGTATTGAAGGGTATGTGCTGTTTAGGAAAGACAGAAATAAGGGTAAAGGTGGTGGAGTCGCATTATATATCAAAGATGAGGTAGATTGTAAAGAAATAAAAAGTGATGGAATGGAGAAGACAGAGTCCATTTGGGCAAAAATCACATTGGGGAAGAAAACTATCAGACCCTCCCCTGGGATAGTGCTTGGGGTGTGTTACAGACCACCAGGATCCAATTTGGATATGGATAGAGACCTCTTTAATGTTTTTAAAGAAGTAAATACTCATGGAAACTGCGTAATCATGGGAGACTTCAACTTTCCAGATATAGACTGGAGAACAAGTGCTAGTAATAATAATAGGGCTCAGATTTTCCTAGATGTGATAGCTGATGAATTCCTTCATCAAGTAGTTGCTGAACCAACAAGGGGGGATGCTATTTTAGATTTGGTTTTGGTGAGTAGCGAGGACCTCACAGATGAAATGGTTGTAGGAGACAACCTTGGCTCGAGTGATCATGAACTAATTCAGTTTAAATTAAATGGAAGGATAAACAAAAATAAATCTGAGACTAGGGTTTTTGATTTCAAAAGAGCTAACTTTAGTAAATTAATGCTGAACCAACAAGGGGGGATGCTATTTTAGATTTGGTTTTGGTGAGTAGCGAGGACCTCACAGATGAAATGGTTGTAGGAGACAACCTTGGCTCGAGTGATCATGAACTAATTCAGTTTAAATTAAATGGAAGGATAAACAAAAATAAATCTGAGACTAGGGTTTTTGATTTCAAAAGAGCTAACTTTAGTAAATTAAGAAAATTAGTTAGGGAAGTTGATTGGACTAAAGAAATTATGGATCTTAAAGTGGAGGAGGCCTGGAATTATTTTAAGTTAAAGTTGCAGAAGCTGTCAGAAGCCT